CAAATCCCAGCCCACTCGCCCGACGTTCGCCCGCCCCCACCCCTGCCCCCCCCGAAGCCAGCGAAGGTTTCGCGGGGGCAGTCGTCGGGCAAGTTGGCCGGGAGAGCGCGGCGGCCACTTCCCTGGCCCTTGCCCTTTCGTTCGATGGCCCCCCGAACGCGGCGCCCGGGCACTCCGTCGCCGAAGCGGCGCCGTCGGGACGCGCACGCAGGCCCACAAGGAGCGCGCGCCGTGCTGCCCCACTGGAACATCGCGCAGTCCGGGGTCGTCGGCAGCGCATTCTTCGCCGAGTGAGCGACGGCGCCCGAGTCCGCGCCAGAGTCGGAACCTGCCGCTGGACGCGCCGCCCGCGGTGATGCCGCGTCTGCGTCGGCGGCAGCTGGCGCTGCAGGCGGGCTCGGCGCCGCTCCGAGGGCTGAAAGGCCCGTGCCATCCCTGCTCGATCCAGCCCCAGCGCCATAGGCACTGCGATCCTGCTTGCGCGCGAGCGCACCCGCGAGGAACGCTCGGCGCCGGGGCGAACGCACGGCCGAGGCGAGATTTCCCGGCGAGCCTTCGATCAAATCTCCAAATCTGCGCAGCTGGCCCGTCATGTGCGCCAGCTGCGGTGCGTCCGTCGGCGAGGCCACGCTGCGGGGCTGCAGGATCACGGCGAGCTGGATGTTCGTCACACCCGCCAAGCCCAGCCAGAGGTTGCTCGATCAGGCACTCGTAGCCGATCAAGAATTGACCAGTATGCTGCGCCCTGTTGCGGAGGATGTCCTGGCGGAGAGGCCGTCGACGCGTTCCTGCGGCATTCGGTTGAAGCCGACACCGCCCGCGCGCGCTCCTCCTCTCCAAGCAGGCCCCGCCGTTCGGCCGAGCTGAGCGAGGTAGGTCATAGGCATCACTGGGTCGCCGTTGATATGACCACCTCGGACGAGGACAGCCGACGGCCACTCGTCCACGCTCTCGCGGGCCATGCCGGTCAAGCGCGACGACGCGCAGGCCGCTTGGCAAAAGTCGCCGAGGTCTGAGTTCGCAACTGACCGCCGCACCCCGCACCCAGCGTTGGAAGGGCACGCGGGCTGGCTGCTCGGACCACCAGGCGCGGAGGCATCGCACGTTGCCGCTGCCACAACCACTGGCGCCCACGTAGGCGACACAGCTGATGCCAGCCACCACGCCCACTCCGATGGCCTTCAATCCAGGGTGGGGCCCCCGTCCTGGTGCCGAAAAGGAGCGACAGTCCTGGTACCCACCAACGGCAGCGTTCTGGCAATGATCCTCAAAGCCGTCGTGGGTATGTCCCTGGCGCGCTTCTCTTCATCGTCGTATCGGGTCATACGTCGTGCGATAGGAGTGCAGACTGCACTCGGAGCACCCCGCCACGTAGTGTCGAAAGAACTCGTCGCGCGTCGCATCGTCACTGTACTGAGCGCCGCCAACTGCGCGATAGTCCGGAGGAGGACGCAAAGGAATCCACGCACGCGAAGAAGCAGGGAACGCGCAGGTGACATGCAGGGCCTTGCCCCAGGAAGCCGACCACGAGAAGTCCCACTCTTGCGTGACGGCCCCCCGGAAGGATGGCAACACAGTTGCCCGACCCTCTTACGCATTCCCGTTTCTGCCCGCACGCGCCCCCCGCGGTTTCCTCGACACTGTTGCGGAGAACTCGGGGCGCCTTGCAGACACCGACGACTCAAAAGCCAGATGTCACAACTGCTTGACATAGCGGCTACACCCACATGCGGATGAAATGAAGGCGGCGCGACCTTTTCCTCTTCCCTTTCGGGCTTCCGCAAAACAGTTGCGAGTAGCTCGGGGCCCTGCGCCGACACCGCGAGCGTGGAAGTCGAATCGCTCGACGGTCTGACGCTGGCGGCGGCACTCGCAGGCGAGTGCTGTGACGACGAAGGGCCCCCGAGTACCTCTCACACACACTTCAAGTGCCCGATGGGGGGGGCCGGGGCGCGGGGCGCGCCGTCCTTCTCGAACGCGTTTTGGTTCAAGCACTAATAGTCCTGTTGGGGTACCTCGGTTTTTCGTGGCGCCGGCCCGTCGAGGCACGGCGCCTGTCGGGACGAGGTGGGTGCCCAGCACGAGTGTAGAGCAAGTGCGTTTGGCACGCGTTGTAGAGCGGGTAAAGCGGTCGCCGCCAGCACGGAAGGAAGCCTATCGGGCCATCGCGGCGGCGAGTGGTCGCGGAGCGGGCTGCTCCGCTACCAACTAGAAATGAAGAGCGGATGGTGAAAAACTGATGTTTCAATTATGTGTAACGGGGGCGGAAGAGAACAACCTGCGATGGGACCACCCACGCATCCCGCTTTCCCTGCTATGCTACATTCACTGACAGTCTACCGTTCGAGTAACGGGGGGAGGAAGAGGAGGAGGAGGAGGAGGAGAAGGAGGAGGAGCAGGAGGAGGAGGAGGAGGAGGAGGAGGCGGAGGGGCGAGTTTGTTCTCCGCCGAGAATAACAAAGGGGGACCCAAAAATAAAAACTGACTGATGTTAGTGGTGTGCAGCACACGGGAACGCCCCCACCCGCCGCCCCAATCCACCAACAAGGACTGCCGCCACCCGAGGAAGAACCAGCTGCGGCTGACCTAGTTGAATGGCTCTGGTTCGTTTGGGGGGCCTCGGGGCCCATTCACTCATCGGCTCCCCGTACTCGGGGTCCAGGCTATATCCGACACTAGAGCCACGCGCGCGCTTCGCGCGCGCTTAGGTTCTAGTCGACTCCAAAGACGGTGCCAATTTCCATGAGACCTTTTCCATGTGGTCTTCCGGGTTCCTCCCTTTCACCCATGCGTGATTTTCGGGCGGATACTGCGAAGTTCAAGGAAGGGTTTGGCCTGTAGCGTACCAGCGACGACAGACGACGACGACGACGACGACGACGACGACGACGACGACGACGACGACGACGACGACGGACCACCGACGATCAGCATCATTGTCACCTGATCCACGTGTGCAGAAGAGGCGTTTCTGGAGCGTCTTGCGGGCGTCATAGGGGGCGTCCTCGGGACATTGGGTGGGCGAGTCGGGGGGGGCAGCCAGGGCCACGTGTTTCGAAGGGCTGTTCTGGAGCATGGAGGACGAAGGGCTTCTGGCGGGCTTCTGAGGGTCTGTGTAGAGGCCTCCTGCGAGCTCGGTGGGGGGTTCTCGGCAGCTTCTCGGGTCTTTCTGGAGACCTTTTTGGTGGCTTTTTGGGGCGTCGTGGAGGCCTCCTGGGAGCCTCTTGGGTCCTCCTGGGGGCCTCTTGGGGCAGAGGGCGCCTTTGTTCGGGCATTTGGGGGGCTCTCTGGAGCCTCCTGGGAATATCTTGGGCCAGCTTGGGAGCCTCTGGAGGGGTCCAGGGCCCCTTCTGAACCCTCTTGGAGCCCTCAAGGCCCCCCCAGCCCCCCATGCGAAACAGAGGTCGCAATTCTGGGTCCATCCCGCAAACGTGTCTGGGTTCTGGGTGAGAGGCTTCTCGGATGTTCGCTGGGATGATATCGTGGGATGCCTCTAGGGGGGCCTTTTGGAAGCAGGTTTGAAGCCTCCACGGGGGCGTTGTGGAGCTTGTCGGACCTCTCTTAAGCATCTTTGGGGCCTCTTTGGATCCTTTTGGAGCCACCTGGGGGCCTCTTGGGGCCTCCTGGGGGTCTCTGGGGGCGGGAAACTCGAAAGGTCGGTTCGCGTTCCCTCTTTTGGGCCCATCTTGGAGCCGTCTTCAGGCCCACTTCAGGCCCTCTTGGGCCGTCTTGGGGGCCTCTTGGGCCGATCATGCGGCCCTCTTGGGCTGTCTGGGGGGCATCTTGGGGGCCTCTTGGGGCGACGTTGGAGGCTTCTTGGGCAGTCTTGGTGTCGGCCGCTCGAAAACGTGAGAAGCAACAAATATTAGAAACACACACACACAATGAAAATCAATGATTTTGGCGTCTTGGGGCTCTCCTGGGGCATCTTGGGGGCCTCTAGGGCCGATCATGGGGCCATCCTGGGCGGCTTGGAGCGCTCTTGGGCCGTCTTGGCGGCTTCTTGCCGTCTCCAGAAGCATAAAAGGACGCCTCGGGGAAGCGGAAAAAGTTCCGGGACTCCGAAAACGGGCCCCTGGATGCCAAAAAAGGGCCCTGCAGCCCAGGATGCCGAAAAAGGGCCCCTGGATGCCGAAAAAGGGCCCCTGGATGCCAGAAAAAATCGGTTGCAGGTGGGGGGGGAGTTTGGAAAAAGTGTGCGACCCCAGGCCGCAAGGCCCCAGACGCCGCTTATATTGTATATTCCCTTCCCTTTCCATTCGATCGGCTCCGAAGCCCCTCCATGGAGCGCTAGAGACGGCGCCATTGGCGCCCAATGGGGGGGTCCAACGCCGATCCAGAAAGTCAGAGCGTGCCTCCACAAATGCTCCCCGGCCCCCGCCTTGCAACGCAGAAGACAGACGACACCACCCCACCTGCGGCCCCCAGGGGGCTTCGCGCACGCCTGGAAATCTGGTGCGGGTGTTTGCGTGGCATATGTTGCGGCGTCCGATTCGGGGATGGACAGAACTCCCTTTAGTAAAACGTGGTTTAGTGAAAACGACCTGAGGCCCAAACCTGGCGGGCGCAAGTCTGGAAAATAACGGCCACGGCGCCCTCTCGAGAACCGAAAACGGACAATTCACTAATCGAGAACCGAAAACGGACAATTCACTAATCGGCGAACCCTACCCCCCTACCCCCCGCGGTTCCTTGGGGGGAGGGTGGGGTTCACTTCGTTCGGGAGCTCCCGAACGAAGTGAACCCCACCCTCCCTCTCAGAAATCGTGGGGGGTAGGGGTACTCCAGATTTCGTAATAAAGGGAGGGGGGTCTCATTTCGGGGGGGGTCTCTTCCAAGCTATCTTGGAGGGCCTGGGGGGGTCTGGGGACGATGTTTTGGAGGGTTCTCCCACGGGGGGGGGTCTGAAATGGCTTGTCTTGGAGGGTCCAGACCCCCTCCCTTTTATTACGAAATCTGGAGTAGGGTTCGCATGTGGCCCCCTAGTTGGGCCGATCCGCTCCAAGCCCGAGCCGCTCACCGCAGATCGCGGCCCATAGAGCGCCACGCCCCGGCGAGCGCGGCTCGGAGCGTCACGGCCGCTGCCCCGCGCCGCCAGGTCAGGCCGAGGCCCCGGGCGCCGCCTGCCAGGAGCCCCGCTGCCGGTCCCTGGCCCGGAGGATGCTGCGCATGTACTGCTGGTCCAGGCCGCGGATGGCGGGTCCCCGCGGCGCCTGGGCGAGGCCCCAGAGGTCCCACGCTCCAGAAGAGTGGGAGTGGCGGGCGTATCGCCGTGTTCGGCCTCGGAGGGACCTCGCTGGGCCTCGGGGCCGTCCAGATGACGGCTCGGGACGAAAAACCGGCCCTTGGGAAGTGGTCCAGACCTCCAGGGCCCACGCATCAGAAAAAAATTGAGCGGCCGGATGTCTGGGAACGGCGATCCCAAGGCACCGTGCCGTGTGGGCCAGAAACCAAACAACGCCGACCGAGATCTTGCCGTCGCTCGGACGTCCATTCCCCGTGCATCGTTCGGTCTCGGGCGTGCTTGTCCGCCCCATGATCCAGGATGCTCCTCGATGGTCCTCGACGAGAAAAGATGCACACGTCGGAGCGGCGCAGAGACCTACGAATGAGCGGTGCTGAAAATTTGCGCACTTGCCCACCTACGGCCACCTACGACACCACCACAGCCACAACCCACCTACGACACCCAGCGAGTCGCAGATGGAGTGGCGTCGATTGGTTCTTGGTCGACCGTGTGTTGAACTCCCGACAGGCCTCGCTCCAACGCGGTGCGGTGCACAGCTTTTCGGCTCTGAGGGGCGAAATACTATGCACCGCACCCTTCCCGGGTCGAGGATCGCCGACGCCTCGGGAGGCGCCAACGCGGCACTGTGCATAGAGCTCGTCCGCTGGGCCTGGTGGAAACACTGCTGTGCAACACGAGGAGCAACAGCTAGAGGAACAATAACAGCACACATACACATGTATACGGCTGGTTCGCGTCGTGTCGACCCCGACGTTGGTCTCTGACACTGCGGGGATCGTTCAACCTTTAACGATCGGCCATTTCCGAAACGTCCAAATCGTTCCACATCGAACGATTCTGGATCGCCCGCGGCGTTCAAAGTTGAACGCCGCTGGCGGGGTCGCCGCTGGTCGACACGACGCGAACCTACCGTACACACACACACACACACACACACACACACACACGCACCCTCACATAAACGGTCGGAGGTCCGCGCGGATTGCTTGGATCTGCCCTGGAGCCCACGGGCGGCGCCTCCGGCGCCGCCCCCGGCGCGCTCCGCCGCGGATCCAAGAAGTCCGCGCGCGCGCGGCCCTCCGAAAGATGATGGGTACTCCAGATTTCGTAACAAAGGGAGGGGGGTCTCATTTCGGGGGGGGTCTCTTCCAGGCTATCTTGGAGGGCCAGGGGGGTCTGGGGGCGATGTTTTGGAGGGTTCTCCCACGGGGGGGGGGTCTGAAATGGCTTGTCTTGGGGGGTGCAGACCCCCTCCCTTTTATTACGAAATCTGGAGTACGCAGTTGTTCGCTACTCGAGTGTCTGTCACAGCGTGCCTCGAGATGGAAGGGCCCCAAATGGCAGCGGGTGCACGCACGCATGCAGGCATGGAGGCAGCGGCAGGAAGACCGGAGCACAACGCCGAGGGGAAGAGCGACAATCGGATTGGGCTCCTTTTGACTCCTGTAAGACTCTGGGAGGCCGCAGCCGCATTAGGCCTGCGTAAGGCGGCCGTGTGGGGTCGCTGGGCGTGCATAAGAAGTGCACGTTGACATCCTAGTTGTATACATATATATACACTACGAATAACAATAATACTCTTTAGAATGCCTAGGCGAGTTCAGAGTGGTCGTGTTGGTTGTGGACGTGTTGGGCATGGTCGTTTCAGGCATGCATGAACGAGTTTAGAGTCGCGTTGTCCTGAGAAGAAAAAACAGCGCCTAAAAACCCAACAATAGGATTACAATGCTACTCCTTGGAGCCAGCCCAGAGGTCTGAACTGGTTGGGATCCAAGAGTAACGGTCAGGGGGAAAATGAAACCAAATCCGCTCAAAATCGGTCCCCGAACCTCTCCAGTGGTCCATCTGGTGCAAATTTTCATTCTGGATCCGGTTTTGATATTCCAAGTGCACGATACGGCCAAGGGACGCCGGGGGAGAACAACAACAAAAAACATCAAACCCAGAGCCTCGGACCTCGTCCCCCCTTTTTGATGGCCGGAACTGATGCTGGGCCATTTCTGACCCCCAGCCCCAGCCGACTACAAACCACAATAACAGAATTGCAACGCTACTCCGCACCTTGCACCCGCCGCCGGCGCCAAGGCCGCCCCCGTGCTCACTGTCCAGCATCGCGACCCGCGCCTTGCACTGCTCCCGCACAGCTTTGCTGGGCCGCGCCCTGCGCTTGGCCGCGTGCGGCAGGTGGCAGAAGCCGCAGCCAGAGCCGTTCGAGCAGCCGGAGCCCGTGCGGAAGTAGACGCACGGCCTGCAGACACCCGCGGCGTGCCGCTGCTCCTTCAGGAGAGATGGTGATGATGGTGGTGATGGTGGTGGCGGCGGTGGTGATGATGATGGTGGTGGTGGTGGTGATGATGATGACGACGCTGATAATGGGGGGGGATGATGAACATCCGCCGCTCTGCGGTTGATCGGGAGTTTCTATATATATAGAAGAAGGGGCGCGCGCTTCTGGGCGAGAGGGAAACGACCGAGAGAAGAAGGGGCGGCCGCCCCACAGGACCTCTCCATGGTGCCGGAAGCCCATCAGGGCTCCCTCAGGGCCCCTCCCCCAGGGCCGGGGCTCCCTCGCCTGCCCCCTCCCCCTCCTCCTCCTCCTCCTCCTCCTCCTCCTCCTCCTCCTCCTCCTCCTCCTCGCCCCCGTCGGCATATCCAGGCGTGTTATGCAGTCAGGTCGTCCGTCCGGAAACGGTGCCGGAGGCCGCTCTGGGCTCCTCTGGGCATCCCCCCCGGGGCCCGTTTTGTGAGGATGTCTCAGGCGAGGGCGCCGGTTTGGGATTCGTCACCGGATCCAGCGGATCCAGCGGATCCGTCCGGAAACGGTGCCGGAGGCCGCTCTGGGCTCCTCTGGGCATCCCCCCCGGGGCCCGTTTTGTGAGGATGTCTCAGGCGAGGGCGCCGGTTTGGGATTCGTCACCGGATCCAGCGGATCCAGCGGATCCAGCGGATCCGTCCGGAAACGGTGCCGGAGGCCGCTCTGGGCTCCTCTGGGCATCCCCCCCGGGGCCCGTTTTGTGAGGATGTCTCAGGCGAGGGCGCCGGTTTGGGATTCGTCACCGGATCCAGCGGATCCAGCGGATCCGTCCGGAAACGGTGCCGGAGGCCGCTCTGGGCTCCTCTGGGCATCCCCCCCGGGGCCCGTTTTGTGAGGATGTCTCAGGCGAGGGCGCCGGTTTGGGATTCGTCACCGGATCCAGCGGATCCAGCGGATCCGTCCGGAAACGGTGCCGGAGGCCGCTCTGGGCTCCTCTGGGCATCCCCCCCGGGGCCCGTTTTGTGAGGATGTCTCAGGCGAGGGCGCCGGTTTGGGATTCGTCACCGGATCCAGCGGATCCAGCGGATCCGTCCGGAAACGGTGCCGGAGGCCGCTCTGGGCTCCTCTGGGCATCCCCCCCGGGGCCCGTTTTGTGAGGATGTCTCAGGCGAGGGCGCCGGTTTGGGATTCGTCACCGGATCCAGCGGATCCAGCGGATTCCGTCCGGAAACGGTGCCGGAGGCCGCTCTGGGCTCCTCTGGGCATCCCCCCCGGGGCCCGTTTTGTGAGGATGTCTCAGGCGAGGGCGCCGGTTTGGGATTCGTCACCGGATCCAGCGGATCCAGCGGATCCAGTCCGCGGAAACGATGCCGGAGGCCGCTCTGGGCTCCTCTGGGCATCCCCCCCGGGGCCCGTTTTGTGAGGATGTCTCAGGCGAGGGCGCCGGTTTGGGATTCGTCACCGGATCCAGCGGATCCAGCGGATCCAGCGGATCCGTCCGGAAACGGTGCCGGAGGCCGCTCTGGGCTCCTCTGGGCACCTCCCCCCGGGCCCGTTTTGTGAGGATGTCTCAGGCGAGGGCGCCGGTTTGGGATTCGTCACCGCCAGCGGATCCATCGGATCGGGATCCAGCGGATCCGTCCGGAAACGGTGCCGGAGGCCGCTCTGGGCTCCTCTGGGCATCCCCCCCGGGGCCCGTTTTGTGAGGATGTCTCAGGCGAGGGCGCCGGTTTGGGATTCGTCACCGGATCCAGCGGATCCAGCGGATCCAGCGGATCCGTCCGGAAACGGTGCCGGAGGCCGCTCTGGGCTCCTCTGGGCATCCCCCCCGGGGCCCGTTTTGTGAGGATGTCTCAGGCGAGGGCGCCGGTTTGGGATTCGTCACCGGATCCAGCGGATCCAGCGGATCCAGCGGATCCGCCGGAAACGGTGCCGGAGGCCGCTCTGGGCTCCTCTGGGCATCCCCCCCGGGGCCCGTTTTGTGAGGATGTCTCAGGCGAGGGCGCCGGTTTGGGATTCGTCACCGGATCCAGCGGATCCAGCGGATCCAGCGGATCCGTCCGAAAACGGTGCGGAGGCCGCTCTGGCTCTCTGGGCTCCCCCCGGGGCACGTTTTTGTGAGGATGTCTCAGGCGAGGGCGCCGGTTTGGGATTCGTCTGGGATCCACGGATCTGTCCGGAAACGGTGCCGGAGGCCGCTCTGGGCTCCTCTGGGCACCTCCCCCGGGGCCGGTTTTGTGAGGATGTCTCAAGCGAGGGCGCCGGTTTGGGATTCGTCACCGGATCCAGCGGATCCAGCGGATCCAGCGGATCCGTCCGGAAACGGTGCCGGAGGCCGCTCTGGGCTCCTCTGGGCATCCCCCCCGGGGCCCGTTTTGTGAGATGTCTCAAGCGAGGGCTGCCGGTTTGGGATTCGTCACCGGCGATCCAGCGGATCCAGCGGATCCAGGGGTCCGTCCGGAAACGGTGCCGGAGGCTTCGTCTGGGCATACCCCCCGGGGCCCGTTTTGTGAGGATGTCTCAGGCGAGGGCGCCGGTTTGGGATTCGTCACCGGATCCAGCGGATCCAGCGGATCCAGCGGATCCAGCGGATCCGTCCGGAAACGGTGCCGGAGGCCGCTCTGGGCTCCTCCCAGACCTTCTATTCCGCAGCTTTGTTGCGGAATAAACTTCGTCTTGGAAATGCAACGCAAAAGTTGCGGAATCCAAATAAATTTGCGGAACCATCTCTTGCCAACCAAAAAAAAAGAGGAATTGCGGAACTTATGTGTTACTCTGAACGTATATGCTAGCACCAGTTGTTATTCAGTTGATTGTGTTTAACGAGTGTTATATCGTTATTACATTGGTTTTTCTATGACATTCAGCATGTGCTTCATAGTATGTTGCTCGCCGTGGAATTCTTCTCAAAAGCAAGAGCGTCGGTCGGTCGTATGTGCGGATTGCTGATGTCCTACTCTTCTTTCTTTCGCGGTGTGGGGTTTGGGGAGGGGCAGCGACCCAGGCCCAAGGCGCGCCTGGGCGCGGGCGTCGCCGCGCGCGAAGCGCGGGCTCCTTGAATGGGGGGTGGCTCGAACGGCCCTGATGGCTTCTCTCATCTCCCGTCCCTCCTTGTTTCGAGTTTCGGGGCCTTCCCTCGTCATATCCTCCTCCTCCTCCTCCTCCTCTTCCACCTCCCCCTCCTTCTTCTCCACCCTCCTCCTCCTCATCTTCCTCCTCCTCCGCCTCCTCCTCCCTCCTCTTACTTCTCCTCCTCCTCCGCCTCCTCCTCCTCCTCCTCCTCCTCCTCCTCCTCCTCCCTCCTCTTACTTCACCTCCTCCTCCTCCTCCTCCTCCTCCTCCGAACCCCTCGCCGTCAGGGTCATTCGGGCCGACGCCCTGCCGCCCGAGCGATGGAAGACGACGCGCAGTCCGTCGCCAGCAGCGCTGACGACGACGAGGGTTCAGGGAACGAGGACATCTCGCCAGCGGCAGTGGCGAAGGCGCCAACGCTGTCCTCCTCCTTGTCCTTGTCATCGTCGCCGTCCTCCTCCTCCTCCTCCTCCTCGTCTCCTCCTCCTGATCTCCGTCTTCGTCGTCGTTGCCCTCCTCCACTCCTTCCTTCCTCCTTCTCATCTCCTGTTCCACTTTCTCCTGATCCAATTCCTTCACCCTCTGGTTTCCCTTGCCCTCCACCGCCTCCTCCTCTTCGTAATCCTCCTCTCCTCCTCCTCCTCCTCCTCCTCCTCCTCCTCCTCCTCCTCCTCCTCCTCCTTCCTCCTCCTCCTCCTCCTCCTCCTCCTCCTCTTCTAATCCTCCTCTCCTCCTCTTCGTAATCCTCCTCTCCTCCTCCTCCTCCTCCTCCTCCTCCTCCTCCTCCTCCTCCTCCTCCTCCTCCTCCTCCCCCTCCTCTTCTTGTTCCTCGATCCCGCGACCCCTGCAGGCGCTGCTGCCGCACTTCCGCAACGCCCCCGAATTCTTCAAGTACCCAGCTGGCCAGCGCAAGTCGAGGCCTGATCGGCTCGAGCTCGAGAAGGAGGGGCTGGGGGTATAGTGGGCACGGAGGAAGAAGGCTCGAGGAGGATTCAGGACAATCGACATGCTTTGGGAAGCCTCAGAAGGCTCGAGAATGAGAGGCAGATGGAGGAAGAGAGTTAGAAGGAGAAGGAGGATCAGGAGGAGTAGGGGGAAGAGGGTCATGCGGGGAGGAGGAGGAGGAGGAGGAGGAGGAGGAGGAGGAGGAGGATCATGAGGAGTAGGAGTAGGAGGAGGAGGATCAGGAGGATGATGAGCAGGTCGATGAGTAGGAGGAGTGTATACGAAGTGGGGTGGGCAGAACAAGCGCATGTTCATGGACCTGATGAGCACACTGGGGAACAGCAGGCTCTCCAAGGGCACGATGATCCAGTCGCTCAAGCTCATCCACGACATGAAAAATTTCTGCATGGGTGACAAGGCGGGGTCGGGGATAGGAGGGAGGATTGAAGAATTGGAAGATGAGCAGCAGCACGAGAACACGATGGAGATGGAGGTGGAGAGGGGGAGGAGGACGAGATGGGAGGAGGAGAAGGAGGAGGAGGAGGAGGAGGAGATCAGGCGTTAAAGCGGGGGGCGGTGCCAGCCAGGTAGGAGCAGCAGATCCAGGGCACCCTGGCAGAATTCAAGAGGTCAGAGCGCTGTGATGTTCAGGTGGGGCCCCCAGGAAACCCCAATGAATGCCCCAATGACTCCCCAATGAGCCCCAATGAACTCCAATGAGCTTCCCTGGATCAGCGAGGAAACTGAGCTTAGAAACGCCAAGGTGAGCAAGGGGAGAGCGAGCAAAGAGGGATCAATACGGCGAACGGGAGGCGCGAGACAAGTGGATCAGCGTCTACCAGGAGCGCGTGCGGACAGCGGTGGTGCACATCAGGGACGCAGGATTGGCGAGCTGCCACTGTCGTCGCCTCGCCTTCGTCGTCGGGGGAATAAGCAAGAGGAGGATGAGGAGGATGAGGAGGAGGAGGAGGAGGAGGAGGAGGAGGAGGTGGAGCTGGAGGGAGGTGAA